CCAGGCCCCCATCATAAACTTTTCTAAAAAAAATAATAAATACTTCATAAGATGCCAGAGTAAAGAGAACTTAGAAAATATCCTGTTAAATGAAGAAGAGTTGGGATAAGGGTTCAGTGGTAGTGTGTGCACTTTCCATGTGCAAGGCCCTGGGTTTGATCCCCAGCACTGCAAAAACAAACAAGAAGCCCCAGCCTGAACAACATAATAAAAACAAACAACAAAATAGTCTTCTTCACTTCTAAAATCATTACTGAAATATTTTAAAAAATGAATGTTTCTATTTTAGAAATCCCACCATCAATTTGAAATTTATACAATAAAAGCAATAGGTAGTTTCTGGAAATTATCCTAACAAGTGGAAAGATTAAGCTAGATGTGATGTCACAGGCTTGTAATCCCAATGTCTTGGGAGGCTGAGGCAGGACTGCAAATTTGAGGCGAGCCTCAGAAACTTAAGTGAGAGCTTGTCTCCGCCCTCTGAAAGACTGAGGTTGAAAAAAAAGACCGAGGCTGCAGCTCAATAGTAAAGTGCCCTGGGTTCAATCCCTAATCCAAACAGAACAAAACAAAACCCAGACAAATATAACAATAAAGATAACTTTCAATTTATAAACCAAGGCTCACTATTTTCAAGATTTTCTATCTGTCCTTCACTTTAGACTTCACAGCCTCTAGAATTGAGATAATCGTTTAATCTCTTCCAAAATATTTCTTGTGATTCCATGTTGTACCACTTGCTAAAATTTACTTGAAACTTCAAAATCAATATTCATGCACTTTCATGGTTACTTATTGACATGTTCAAAATGACAAAAAATTTGAGCCACCCAATACCATTCTTGGAAGAGGCTGAACAGTTTTCATACCGTAAACAGTATCCTTTATGTAGTATATTAAAAGCTATGCTTTTTTTGGGGGTGATTTCATGATTCTACCACTGAGCTACACCTCCAACACCAAAATTTTCTTCTTAAAATGAGACACAGACATTTTTTCTAATTTTTCTTTTCCATTTTCTTACCAAGAATAATTACTGATGTGGTTCCATCTCCAACCTCTTCATCCTGGGTCCTGCTAATTTCAATCATGGACTTGGCTGCTGGATGTTGGACTTGAATCTAAAAAATTTAATTAAAAATGTAGATCACTCCTTAACTAACACTATGCTTGGTCCTAAGTTTCTTGCTTCACATATACATTCCCTTTCCCTTTATTGTTTTACCATATCCTGAAGATTAAAATGTCCTCCCAAACCACCTTTCTACATCCTTTGCTTTTGAGGAAAAAAATGCATCATAAGAACTCAACTATTGGGCTGAGGATGTGGCTCAAGTGGTAGTGCGACTGCCTAGCATGCGTGAGGTACTGGGTTGGATTCTCAGTACCACATAAAAATAAAATGGAGTTATTGTATTCACCTAAAACTAAAAAATAAATATTAAAAAAAAGAACTCAATTATTACAGCTTCTTAAGGATAGCATGGTACCATATAGTTACATATTGCAAGTTCTATTGTGTGTGAACTGTGTCCTGCGAATATGACTTGGAAATAAAAGCCTCTGTTTTTATTTTCCCCGTACTGAGGACTGAACCCAGGATTTTGTGATTGCTAGGCAATCACTCTGGCTAGAAAAGACAAAGAATTCTCCCCTAGGCCTTTCAGGAATAAGGCCCTGCTGATACTCTGATTTCAAACTTTTAGCTTCATTTTATTGTTATGTTTTGGTACCAGAGATTGAACCCAGGGGTGCTTAACCACTGAGCCATGTCTCCAGCCCCTCCTCCCCCCGAGTTACACCCCCAGCTCCTGGATTCTTTGTATTTATAAAACTGCGAGGAAGCAAATGAAAAAGAAGAGAAAAAAACACACCTCTCGAAGAATGGCATTGCCATCGTTGGTCATCACGATGCCTCCCATTGGGTCCAAAAGCATCTAAGACAAAAGCGAAGTAAGTGTCCTAAAGAACAGAAAACCTATATACTCTGTAGTTTATGAGTTTCAATAAAAGATAAGATTACCTTCATCATGGACTTGGGTCCCAAACATGTTCGGATGATATCTGCAATAGTCTAATGGAAAGGAAATATAAGACATGTAAGCACAAACCAGAGGACAGTATGAATAAGTTGGAGAACAACCAGGAAAGCCACTGTTTTAAAAATGATACCACTAAAGTAGAATTGACAACTATTTCAGATACTTCACAAGAAAAAAGGAGAAATATGCCTCCCAGAACTTTATTATAGTTTTCCAGCAGTCCAAATCTCAGTATTTCTCTGCATAACAATGGCCTACACACCACCATAAGTCAAATCTCAGGTCACTTCACTATTCCATTCAAAAGCATTATTCAGCCTCTATGGAGGATCTATGATGGGCACTAGGAATACAAAAGAGAATCAATACAGTCCTTCCCTTCAAGTAGCGCAGTCTAGCATGGGAGACAAACACAAGTAGAATGCTATAAAATTTATACAGCATACAATTATGCACAGGTTAATATAAGATTACTAGGCCTTATTATTAGACTTAAATTGTAAGGGAATATATAACTCCTTACTGGTACTACCATAGGGCAATGTCCTGAAAAAAGGGAAGTCAACTTTTTCTCTGCCTAATTGCACATTTTAAAGTCTAGATATAAGAAACCTTATTGCTAAGAAGAAATACAGAAATACTGGAGAGTGGGGGGGAGATATGCTACCTTAGCAGCATTGATGTTTCCAGATTGAACTTTTCTTCCAGATTCACGCTTTGTATTCTGGCCTAAAATAGATAAAAACAATAGTCAACAGCCTAGGATTGCCCCAACTGTACACAAGCTATTTATTCCCCAATCTTTGGGGGGGTGGGGAATTGGTTTTGCAGTATATACACAGATTAAAACTTATCAAATGATATACTTTAAATATGTGTAGATGTCAATTACATTTCAAAAACCTAATAAACACATGTATTTGCAGCTATTTACTTTGTGTGTAGGTCAAGGGGTACTGGAGATTGAACCAAGGGGCAACTCCTCTACCACTGAGCTACATCCCCAACTCTATTTTTTTTTTTTTAAATTTTGAGACAGGGTCTTGTTCAGTTACAGAGGCTGGCCTCAAACTTGCAATCCTTCTGCCACAGTCTTCTGAGCAGCTGAGATTATAGATGTGCACCCCACACACACCTATTCATTTATCTCAATCCCTAGAGCACTAAGGAAAAACCCATAATGCTCCATTCCCAAAATCTTGGACAACACTTTCCCTTTAACCATTCACACATTTACAGTAGGATTCATAATCTGAGATCCATGAATGGGCCTCAGTGAAATAATGAACTCCCCAAGATTATGTGAGAAAATGAAAGATGCCCCACCCCAGACGAAGATCCAAAGCCAATATCACATTCTCAAAGGGTTAGTGATCTTACGAAAATCAGAGCTTTCTGTAAAGAGGGGAAGAATTTAGGGGTTATTTTCCTGCTTGAATAACAGAAGAATACTCTAACAGTCCAAACCTAATTACTGACAGAACCCCACTGCATGCTGTGGAATGAGAATGCACACTCTTCCAAAGTGTCCCAGTTTATAAGATAAATTATACAAAGCCACCCCATACTTGGATGAAATAAGAATACCTCACTAACCCATTTACCCTGGTTCAGATCTGGTTACATAGTTTAATAGGGAATAGAGTCAGGTACAGCCTTTAATGCCAGAGATTAATGCAGATAGGAAAAGAGCTTTACAAATGCACCACTCATCCCAGGGCCCACTCAGTAGAGACAAGCCAGTGACTATAACCACACCAACGTAATGACTTCCCTCCACGCTCCTATTATACGTTCTTCTACAATTCAATTCTGTAAATCTTTCATTCCAGTCCCATCAAACATAAACACCTAGCATAACCCTCAGGGTTTACATTTTCTATCTCAGGTAGAAGTAACCAAAAACTTATATGGATCTACAATCCAGCAGAAGGAAGGGGTTTTTCCCCAGGTACATGTAAAACAAACAAAAACTCTCATCATCATTGGACATACACAGGGGAAATGGCTGGTCGGGCATCCTAGGCACAGAAGCTACACCCAGAAGGGAAACATACTGAGGGAAGACAATGTAGACAATGCTAATTTCTTAGAAAGAAATAAGGGATATTTCCAAAGGGAAAAGAAAAAGTACTGGAGAATTTGGGAAAACTCGATTGCTTAGTGGCAAAGATTACATCTAAGTCCGAGAAGGGAAGCACGGTTCCTCCAGGAATAGGGCTGCTGAACGACTGGTACTCATGATAAGTGCAGAAACCAAGGATGCCACCGCTATGTGCCAGGCTCTCTTTTAAGCAGCTTATCGACTTGACTTGCAACTCTATGAAGAAACACTACCAATCTCAGCGCAAATGGAAAAACTTAATTTGCCCGAGGTCACATCGCGACTAAAGCCACGGGCCAAGAACATAGAGCTAGGCCTCATTTGGAAGACCATTATTCATTCAACTCTACACCGGAAGACAAGTTGGTAAGGGCGCAGGGGCGTGGAGGAAGGTGGCGGCTGATACTCGATGAGGGGTCTACAAGGGCTTCCCAAGACAAGCACGTGTAAATACACGGGACTCGGCGAGGGACGAGTCGGTCTGCGTTTGTTAAGGGAGGACGAAGGAATGTGAGTAAAGGAGCTCCCAAAAGGAGACGATGACTGGAAGCCTCTGGTCAGGTCATGGCGGGACGAAGCTGGGGCAACACTAAGAAGCGTGTGGAGAGGCGTACAAAGAGGGGGGGGGTCCCTTCCCCATAACTCACTGAGCACGAGCACAGGACGGTGGCCCATCATGGCGGCGCAATGCAGAGCTAGGTACCCAGAGCTGGAAGAACCGGCAGAACCTTCTGGAGAGAGAGAAGCAGCGAGAAGCCCAGAAAATGCTGCCTCTTCGGGGCTGACACCTAAACCCGCTAGCTTCTAAGTCGTTCGCCAATCACCGCAGCCGCCTCATTGACTGGCACGAAAACGGTCCAATCGGCAGATTAACCACGCCCTACGCAAAAAAAACGGCAGAGCAAGGTAGATAGAGAGAGCGCGATGATGGAAACTGGAGAGCTCCGGCGCTTGCGCAATAGGGTGGCCGCTCCCGGCCGCGTGCGGCGCGGTCTTCAGCTCCAGCGCCAGCGCCGCAGTTCGGGCAGTTGGCCGTACGCTGTTGCGCATGCGTATCAACTACAGGGATGGGTGCTGGGTTTGAGGCTTTCGATTAATACCGCAGGTGAGGTCACGAAACAGTGTGTTGTCCCTCCGCATCTATCGGACTCTGAAGGCCAAGAAATCTGTGATAGTAGTTTTCATTCTTTTGTCCCAGCCTCGGTAACGGGGGAGTAGAGGGCGGGGCTTTGGCGCCTGGTCTGACGAAGGGTGCAGTGGGAGTTGTAGTCCTGTGGGGCAGGGCTGGGAGGCAGCGATCCTTCCCCCCCACCCCACCCCTCCCCGTTTTCCGGGCTCGCTGGGAATCGTGGTGTAGAACTGCTCTTTACCTTCTTAGGCGAATGCTTTCTACCGAGGCTGAGAGCGGTTTCGGAGAGTGACGGCTTCGCTTCCCCCGAGTTGTCCTTTCTAGGTCTCTTCTCCAGTGTTGCCGCCAGTGCTCCGGCGTCTGCTCCCTCCCGTCCGTCCCCGGTCGCTCTCCTCGCCCAGCCCCAAGTCCGTTGGACAGGGTCGGAGCCAGAGTTTTTAAATTGCCACCCTAGATAAGAAAAAGACTCACACTGCAGAAATTGAGCATGTAGAACATGAAGAATAAAACGCCCATTAGAAGAAGGCTCTTAAGGCTTGGAATTGGTCTTGTTTCGTCCAGGAAAAAAAAAAGTGTGTGGGGGGGGAATAACAATAGGAATAACTTTTGCAAACGGATGAAGGGAACGTGAAAAGAATGAGCAGTGGTCACTTACAATTAGCCATGAAGCAGAATACACACAGCTTGAGATCTGCTGGAGAGAACTTATGAAATTGTCATTGATAAAAAATAACATCAAGGGTTGTTTGATCATGTGATGCCATGATTCTTACCCTATTGGTGTTCAGGTGGAGAAGCGCACTGGTTATCCTACTAACGGAAAAGGTGTGTGGGTCGAGGTCCTGCTTCCCTTCCCTTACAAGCCAGACCTCCCTAACTGCTTAGCATTTGGGGAAATGATTCTAGTTGTTGTTGTTGTTTTGTTACTTGGTTAATTGGAAAGTATTTGTGTTTTCTGCATTGCCTACTAAAGGGAACATTTCTGTGCCTGGTGCCTAGAACTAGATCTGTTAGAGTAGCTACTCAGGGCTGGGGGACATAACTCGGTAGAGCGCTTGCCTTGCATGCACAAGACCCTGGGTTCAATCCCCAGCACCACCAAAAAAAAAAAAAAAAGTAGATGCTTAATGATTATTTATTGAATAAATGTATCCTATGTAGCTCCTCTTAAAATTTAGAACAAGACTGTGTACAGGGATCTCAGAAGACTTGATGTTAACTAGAGTGAATGGAAACTCAGTTTGAGTGGGACAGTCCTGCTGGTGGGCAGGAAGGTGGTTAGGGCTGTCTGACTGCAGAGCCTATCCACTTAACTGTAGGTGGAATAGATTATTTTATCTGGGAGATCTATTATGCCATGGCTTGGACATAAATTAACTATCTCTTCACAGAACGTAAAGAGCAGTGGAAAAAAACATGGTTTTGAAGTCTACAAGCTCAGATTTAATTCTAGCATTGGCAAATGCTAATTGTGGAATCCCAAGAAACTTAAATTCAAATAATATGTTGACAATGCTGCGTACTTCAGAGGATCATTGTAAAAACTGTATAAGAGAATGCATTGTATGTAAAGCACCTTTACTATTTTTTTCTCTGATCTACCTCCTTTTGTTGCTTCCCAATCTATTATGTATTCTCTAGTCAGAAATATGGTTCTTAGCCTGGTGTGGTTGTGCGCACCTGTAATCCCAGCTCAGGAGGCTGAGGAGGCTGAGGCAGGAGGATCATGAGTTCAAAGCCAGCCTCAGCAAAAGCAAGGTGCTAAGCAACTTAGTGAGACCCTGACTCTAAATAAATAAAATTCAAAATAGGGCTGGGGATGTGGCTCAGTGGTCTAGTGCCCCTGAGTTCAATCCCTGGTACAAAAAAAAAAGAAAAAGAAGAAGAAAAGAAATGTGGTTCTTAGCCAGGTGTGATGATGCCTGCCCAGGAGCTCAGGAAGCTGAGGCAGGAGGATGACGAGTTAAAAACCAGCTTCAGCAACGTAGCTTGCCTGCCATAGCAACTCAGTGAGACCCTGTCTCTAAGTAAAATACAAAAAAAAAAAAAGAAAGAAGAGGCTGTGGATGTGGCTCAGTCGTTAAGTGTCCCTGGGTTCAATCCCAGGTACCCCCCTCCCCCCAAAAAAGAAATGTTTCTTTCAGTATATATTGTGGGTAAAATATATTCTTCAAGCCTTACAGTCCTGTGGGAAACACGTCCCTGTGTGCCCACGAGTGGTTTATATGATTGGGAAGTACATGTGCATGGAAACTAACACATTTTTCAAATGGTGAGAAAAATCTTGAGATCTGAGTTTGAGCGTCTGTCTTTTTACCACTGCATGAGCCATCAAATGACATGACTGGAGCAGGGGGAAGGGAAGATGGAGGACCTGCAGTAAAGCTTAGAAAACCCATTTTTTGGAAAAAAAAATTTTTTTCCCACACCAAGAATAACTGTAACAGGGAATGTAGCAGATTTCCATTTTCTTAGGGTCAGGTTCAGTGACCGTCTAGACAGAAAGCATCTCAATGTGGCACCCATGTATGAAGACGCAGTGAATAAGACTTCTTCCTTCATACAATCTACTTGTCACAGTCTGCCCCCACTGCAAGACTGTCAGCTCCAGGAAAGTAGTGACCACATTGTTCCGTCTACTGTGGGGTCTTTAGGAAGGAGTTAGTTATTTCTTACATGTAGGTGTGAATAAATCAATTTGATTTGCGGGGACTGGTTATAGAACCCAGGACCATGAGCATGCTAGGTGAGTGCTCTAGCACTGAACAACACCCCAGCCCTTTCCTTTCTTGATGTCAGTTGGTCTTTCTTTGTCTGGTTTGTTTTCTGGTGCTGGGGATCGAACCCAGGGCCTTGGGCATGCAAGGCAAGCACGCTACCAACTGAGCTACATCCCCGCCCCCAATTGGGCTTTCTTGAGGACAGTGATCTGTTGACTCCTCACTGTTCAGGCTCTTCATTCCTTTCTGATCCCAGCTGTTCTGCCTTTCCACTTATTGTCCTCCTGTCTACTTTGCCACCTTCTCTTCATTTTCCACACTCCTGAGGAGCTACTCAAAGGTCCAGTCTTCTCGTCTTGCTTCCTCTCGTTACTGTTGGGCTTGGAGAGCTAGTCTATTTTAGTAGCTCCTTCATCCCCTTCTGTGGCTGGCCTGGCAGTTTGACCCTTCACACAAACTCAGTGCCATTTCTTGCTTTTCTAGGCATTTGTAGAATTCAGTGTATCCCAAATGTGATGGTATTAATAGGACAGAACTCCTACTCAAACTGCCTTAAGTGAAAAAGGTAAGTTCTTGTCTTACACACTTGAGGACACTGGGTATCTCACAGAACATGAAGGAGAGGTGTAAAACGAGGTGTCAGGACTGGCCCTGGGAATTCTGTGCCCATTGGTGGCTGTCTGTCCATGTGCTCTGTCCTCTCTTGTCTCTGATCTTGCTCGTATCCACTTCTCATGGTATGCCGGCCAAATTCAGTAGTTTCCATGGGCTGAACTTTATGTCTTCTCAGAATAGCAAATCAAGAAAGTTTCTTTGACAAAGAATCCATATGTTGATCTCAGCAAATGACTCTGGCCCAGCCTGCCTCACATGCTTACCATCTTGGATCAATGACGGTTACCAAGGGGAACGGGATACCATGATTGACTGGTATTGGGTCACATGCCATCCTTGATGGGAAAAGGGGGTTGATTGAAGTCTCACCAGTATGGCCTGGAAACTGGGGAAAGCATCATCTCCCAGAGGATGGGCTGCTCAGTAGACAGAAATAACAGACGTCTTTGATAGGGCTCCTCATGTCCTACAAATCGGTTTTTCTTCCTAACTGAACTGTTTTTGCCAAAGTTAATTTATTTATCCATTTAAGAATCTTTTCCAGGGCTGGGGTTGTGACTCAGTGGTACAATGCTTGCCTAGCACATGCAAGGTGCTGGGTTCAATACCCAGCACCATGTAAAAATAAATAAAATAAAGGTATTGTGTCCAACTACAACTAAAAAGAAAAGATCTAAAAAATTATAAAAAAAAGAATTTTTTTCATGTCCAACTCATTGTGTTTAATATCTACAGATTAATCAAAATATTTTAATCCTGTTTTCTAACCCTAAAAGGCTAAGTGGCTTCCCAGTATACTCAGGAGAAGCCTAAACATCTCAGATTTGCTAATGTGAAGAGGCCTCCGTGGCCCACCCTGTCTTCTCACTCGGGACCCTGGCCCGCCTCCCAGGGCGGCTCACCATTCCAGCCGTATTCTTCCTTGCTTGCTTGTTCACACTATTCTGTTTTATCACTTGAAATGTCTCTTCTGCTCAGGAAGTTTCCCAGGTTTTCAAGGTCCAGTAAATGACCTTTACCTGCATGGGGTTTTCTTTGATTATTGTACTCATATTAATCTTTTCCCCTTTTTGAAAACACTTGTTTTTACATTTAATCATGTACTTAATATAACAGGTAAAAGGCCTTCTGTTCATCTCAGACTATCAGGCTAATTTTTTTTGTTTTGTTTTGTTTTATACCAGGGATTGAACCCCTGGGTGCTTAACCACTGAACCACACCCCCAGCCCTTTTTGCATTTTATTTAGAAACAGGGTCTCATTGAGTTGCTTAGGCTTCGATAAGTTGCTGAGGCTGGCTTTGAACTCAAGATCCTCTTGTCTCAGCCTCCTGAGCCACTGGGATTACAGGCATGCACCACCACATCCGGCATCAGGCTCATTGTTTATGTTCTCAAGTTATTATATCACTGTTTCACCTGCTTCTGATTTGTCTTCCTGTACTGAGAATAAGCGCCAAAGAAACCATATCTTAATCCTCATGTGCATGCTCTAGCGTCTGGTAGGGTGGTAAGCCTGTGATGCCTACCAACAAGAATTTCACACTGTAAGCACATTCGATTTTAGCTTATCCCACCCCTGCTTGGTTTTCCTTGATCCCACTAGGATTTCGTCACTCTCTCTTTTTCTAGCGTGTCAGGTAGTCAGGGCAGGGCCTGGCACCTGCCTTCCAGACAAGGTGCAGGGATTTCATAAAAAGCCCACTCCCTGTTAGAATGAGCTTTGATTTAGTTACCTCTGATTTTGTTCCAGCAAAAGAGGAAGGTAATGCTATGCCTCTTTGTCGAGCAAAACCGTCCCCCAGTTTTATTGATCTTCAAGCAAGTTCCCCACCAGCCACTTTCTTAAACATCCAGACGACAAAGCTGCCCTCAGGTAAGAGCTGGGGGGAGGTTTCCCAGTAGACCCTGCATTGGGGAGGCGGCTGAGCTTCCTTCTGTTGATCTAGTGCCAACTCAGTGTCAAAACAACTGTAGGTTTTTTGTTGTTAATTGTTTTTACTTTCACTGTAACTTATGGATTATTCAGTTAAATTGATCTCATTTTCTCCCCAGTTCTACCAAGTCGTATTGTTGCCTTGCTCAGCACCTTTGCTACACTATAGGCAGGAATGGAATGAAAATCTTACTGCTTGCTATTCTTTTTGATTAAAAGGTGGCCATGGAGAGAAATAATAAATATTATCTCAACCTGTGTTTCATTGAATTTCTGTTATTCATCTTTCCTTGGGAAATCAGTGGACATTTGAAATACCTATTGGGAACCCAGTAGTAGATAGTGATAGCCCCTGTTTTGGGGACCTCTGAGTCTAACAAAGAAGTCAAGAACAATAAACACACAAGCCACAGTAGTACAGTTACTAAGGTTGACTAAGAGCTGCCTGTGTATTTGAAAAATAAATTGATGTACCAAGAGCGGTTGAAGTTAGACAACAGAAAGAGCTTCAGGTCACTACTAATGGCACCATGCCACAAAGGGGAGGCTGAGGTCTCCCTAGCTCATCAAATGTTTGTTGAACAATTCTGCTAGTTGCTAGGGATTCACCAGTGAATGAATCAGACAAAATTGGTTGCCTTCCCAAAGTTTACATTCTAGAAGGGGGACTTAGACAAAAATAAAGAAATAATCACAAAATATGCCACGTGTCCATAAATAATTTGGGAAAAATAAAATAACGGAGAGAGGGATGAGTTCAAGTTATGTTCTATTTTAAGTTAGTTTTAAATTTCAAATTTAATTTGAAAGCAAATTAGAATGTCACCAGGTAAGTCACACTGAGAAGGTGATAGCTGAGCCAAGGGTTGTGCCTGGAAAGATTAGAGAGAGCATCTTGTTGGAGCCATTCCAACCTTAGTACAATTACAAAATCTTCTGGTTTTTCCTTTTATTCTCCTTCCTGGCTCTTCCTTCAGGAGTTCATCACAAGCCCAAAGAATGTCTAGGACTCCTGGAATGTATGTACGCCAACCTCCAACTTCAGACCCAGCTCGCCCAACAACAGATGGCTATTTTGGAAAACTTACAAGCATTGATGTCACAACTGGTTCCTGGGAGAGAAAGCAAGAACTCTTCTCTCTCAGTTTTATCTCGTAATCTGTTGTTAAATCACCTGCCCCAATTCCGTAAATGAATTGTAGAACAAAGTTCTTGTGTATGTTTTTTCCCTCTCTTTCCCAGTAAGCCCCAGGTAGAATCAGCCATGTATGTTCTTCCTTCTCTTCCTCATCCTCCTCTTTTTTTTTTTTTTAATGCTAGGGATTGAACCTAAGGCCCTTAAGAACACACTGAGCAATACCTCCAACAGCTCCTGGGCATGTATTTTTTACATATGGTTAATTTGTTTGCAAATTCGTAATGAGTGTTCATTGAGTAGGTCACTGTACAAGGCCCTTGGGAAGATATGTTACAGAAGAGCCAACTTGGTCAGGGAGGGTTATGGCCTAACAGGGCAGAGAAGACAGTTCACTGCAGAACTGAGTGGTGCTCTGAGTGGGAGGGGGCGGAGGTTAAGAGAGAACATTGGGGGTTTCTAGATACAAATGAACCAGTCTTGAACTCTTCCTGGAGAAAAAAACTTTATGATGCTATTTGAAGAGAGGGAGGGATTGGATGGTGTGCAGACAAGTCAGGTCATTTCTTATCGGTTGGGAAACTTGGACAAAGACCTAGAGGCAGGAGAATAACCCCTCAGAAATGAGAAGACTTTCCCCCGATGGGTGAGGGGTGTGAAGTAGAATGCAGAGCAGCGAGGACAGACATGTAGCTTCCTCTGTGGGATTATTCTGACAACTCTTAGAAGCTTGAGAGAACCACTGGCAGCTTTCAGGTAGCACGAGGCTCTCATATTCTAGTAGAAGCACTGGGGCGAAGCATTTTTGGGTGGAGGGAGAAGGGAAATTGAGAGAGATGTATAAAGTAGTAATAGTGATCTAAGGGACACTACCACGGTCTGGATAAAGGGTTTGGAAATGAAGAGGGACAACGGGTAAATCTGAGCTATTTTGCACATTTGACATTAAAACACCAAGAAACAGCATCCTGAAATTTCTCAGCTGGGAAGCCAGGTAGCTTTAATGAGTGTTCTAAATCCTGCCGAAAGTTTTCAGTGTTTCAGAAGAAACAGCTGAGGTTGGCGTGGTCATTCAGTCACATTAGGACACCACCTTCCTTTACAGGGTGATTGATAAGTCACCCTTGAGACTGGGTCCTTTTTCCACAGATTTTCTGTGGAATGCGGAGAACATGAAAGGTTTATTAAGCTTGGATACAAATGGGAAGAAGACGGGAGAAATTAGTGATTGAGAAGAGGACTTCAAATTGACCTTCAAGTCTGAAGCGTTTTCCAAAGAAACCTCTTTTATTTTTTATTCTATACCATTAAAGAGGGCAGAGTGGGTGGGCATGTAGTTCGGTGGTAGAGTACTTGCCTATCATGCTTAAGATCCTGGGTTCAATCTCTGTACCACCAAAAAAAGAAAAGAAAGAAGAACAAGAATAAGAGTAACAGTGAAACCTAAGGAACTGTCATTTGGCATTAAGGGAGAAATTCTGTTTACCTAGGTTATTATGGGGAAAGGAAAAAAAAAGTAAATAATTTTAGAATGGAAGAGATGCTCCCATAATTGTGGATGAGTATGTATCTAACTCTGGTTGGAAGAGGAAGGGCAAATTATGTGTAAAAGTTTCTTTTAGTCCTACCATCCCATTATTGTCAAGATGCAGTTGCGGGGAGTTACTGAGAATTGAATCAAGGGGTGCCTTACCACGGAGCTACATCCCCAGACTTTTTTTTTTTGAGACAGGGTCTCACTAAGTTGCAGAGGCTGGGCTTGAACTTGCAATCCTCCTGCTTTGGCCTCCTGAGTTACTGAAATTACAGTCATGTCCTGCAAGGCCAAAGATTTAAATAAAATCTTAACTGGGTCCCTTCTTCCCTTGACCAGTGATCTCTCCGTTCAAACTTAAGGTTTTTTTTTTTTTTTTTTAAAAGAGAAGAACTTTTATTTATTTTAGTTGTAGATGGACACAATACCTTTATTTTATTTTATTTGTTTATTTGGTGCTGAGGATTGAATCCAGTGCCTCACACATGTGAGGCAAGCAAGTGCTCTCCCACTGAGCTACAATCCCAGCCCCCACACTTAAGTTTTAAAAGCCATACTCAATGGAAAGATATTCCATATTCATAGATAGGAAGACTGTAAGTATTGTTAAGATTTTAGTTCTTCCCAACTTGCTCTACAGATGCAATGCAATTCCAATAAAAATCCCAGTGAGTTATATGTGAATATCAACAAATGGATTCTAAAGTTTATATGGAAAGGCAAAGACCCAGAATAGTAATGCCACATTGAGGGAGAAGAACAAAGTCACAGGACTGAAACTGCCCAACTTCCAACCTAGTATAAAATTGTACTACTCAAGATAGGATGGTTTTGGTAAAAGGATAGAGATAGATCAATGAACAGAATAGCCTAGGAAAAGACTCACACAAATACAGCCAATTTTTGACAAAGGAACAAAGGTGATCCAATGGGGAGAGAATAATTTTTTCAACAAATCAGTGTTGGAACAACCGGATATCACATCTAAAAAAATGAATCTAGACATGGACCTTATACCTTGCACAAGAAGTCATACTCCCTGAAAGGGCCTTGAAACAGCGATCAACTTGGCAGCAGCAGATACCCTTAGCACCCAGAATATAGTCTCTAAGTAATATGTTTTGTTGTTGTTAAGAAAGGAAGCTAGGATCCTTAAAGATATGATTGTTTCAGGTTTCAGGTAGGAAAAAGTACAAGATGAGCTCAGAATATCTTATCCTAGTATGTAGCAAGAAGCTGGGGTTGTGGCTGAGTGGGAGAGCGCTCACCTAGCATGCACGAGGCACTGGGTTGGATCCTCAGCACCACATAAATGTAAAATAAGGATATTGTGTCCATCTAAAACTTAAGAATAAATATATATTTTTAAAAAGTTTGCTAAGTTGTATCAAAAGAATAATCTAGGGGTTGGGGCTGTAGCTCAATGGTAGAGTGCTTACCTGGCACTGGGTTTGTTCCTCAGCACCACATAAAAATAAAGTAAAGGTTTAAAAAATAATAATCTAATTTGTACTTTATTATTATTATTATTATTATTATTTTGGCACTGGGGATTGAACCCAGGGATACTTAACTACTAAGCACATCCCTAACCCTTTCTATTTTTATTTTGTGACAGGGTCTTGATAAGTTGCTTAAGGCCTTGCTGAGTTGCTGAGGCTGCCCTCAAATTTGAAATCCTCCTGCCTCAGCACCCAAGTTGCTGGGATTACAGGCAATGTGCCACCACACCCAGCTGATGGTTCTGTATTCTGATATATGGTATATGGGTTTTGGCACACAAGTATGCACTTACCAAAATTCATCAAATGGTACACTTAAAATTTGTGCATCTCATTAGATGTAATTTTTCTCTTAAATTATAAACAACTGTTGAACTCTAGTTAATGATGTGCATAAAGAAAGGCTTAGCCGTGAAGTATGCTGATTCTACAACTCTGAAATGCATCAAAAATTAAAAGTAGTGAATAGATTAGTGAATAGATGGACAGATGGACAGATGATTATGTGAGAAAACAAATAGAAAATGCTATTATAGAATTTAGGGAAGGGGCTGGGGATATAGCTCAGTTGGTAGAGTGCTTGCCTTGCATGCACAAGGTTCTGGGTTCAATCCCCAGCCCCCCCCCCAAAAAAAAGAAACAAAGAAAGAAAGAATTTAGGGAATGGGCTCACAATCCCCATTATCAAAAAAACAAACAGTGGCTGGGGCTGGGGCTCAGTGGTGGAGCACTTGCCTGGCATGTATGAGGCACTGGGTTTGATCCTCATCACCACATAAAAATGAATAAGACAAAAGTATTGTATCTATCTACAACTAAAAAATAGTAAACAAACAAACAAACAAAAAATCCTATGCCTTCTCCCCAAAGAAAACCATTGTTTACCATTTCCTGTGTATTCTAGAAATCAATGTCTATATAGCTCAGCATGTAGAATAGATTTGAACTGAATATATTTTATATATTTTTTTTATTCTTTTTCTAATGTATTCAATGGTAGTATATTAGTTTCCTGTCACTGCTGTAATAAATTACTTCAAACCTAGTAGCACAACATAAATTTATCTTACAATTCTGTAGATTATAGATCAGAAATCAGAACAGAGGGCTGGGGTTGTGGCTCAGCGGAAGAGGGTTCACCTAGCATGTGCGAGGCCCTGGGTTTGATCCTCAGCACCACATAAAAATAAATAAAATAAAGGTATTGTGTTCATCTACAACCAAAAAAAATAAATATTAAAAAAAGAAGAAAGAAATTTGAATAGATGTCATTGGTCTAAAATCAAAGTGTCCCTTTTGGAGGTTTAGCGAGAACCTGTTTCCTGGTGGGTTCCAGTTTCCTGGGGTCCTCCTTCCTCCATCTTCAAAGCCAACAACATTGCATCTCTGTCCACTCTCTATTTTTCACCCCTTATCCATTCTCCTAAAGTCATATCTCCTCCTGGCCCGCCTGCCTCCCTCTCCCACTCTTGTGGTTGTTTTGGTAGTGGGAATTGAGCCCAGGGGCACTTTACCACTGAGACACATCTCCAGTCCATTTATTTTTTTATTTAGAGACAGGGGCTCACTGAATTACTTACTGCCTTGCTTTTGCTGAGGTTGGCCTTGAACTCTCAATCCTCCTGCCTCAGCCTTCTGAGCCACTGGGATCATAGGTGTGCATCACCCCACTTGGCTAATGACTAATATTTTTAATACTGCGCTAAATATCCTTAATTTGTAGGAAGAGGTATTTGTGACTCTAAGCTAAACTCAGCAACATAACTGTTTATTTTGAAAACCAGCTAGAGGCATCACAGTACCTGATCTCAAAAAGCCCTACAGGTAGTACAATCCACAATAGCTAAGCTACAGATCCAGCCTAGATGTCCATCAACAGATGAATGAATAGAAAATTGTGGTACATATACACATGGAATATTACTCAGTCATAAAGAAGAATGACTTTATGACATTTGCCAGTAAATGGATGGATTTGGAGATTCTCACACTAACTGAAGTGAAATAAGCCAGTTTGAAAAACC